AACAGAAAAATCTAGGATAGTGGTGTGTATTTGTAACCCCAGCTACATGAAGATGCCCGGGCAGAAAGGTAAGACCACATCTCAAAAATGACCACAGCAAAAAGGCCTATGGGCGTGGCTCAGGTGGTAGAGTACCTGCCTACTAAGGGCAAGACCCTGAGTTCATACCCTAGTACTTTCTCCTCAAAATGAAGTAAATAAAGGCAGTAACCCTTGTTAGAAGCAATAAACCAGAATTTGGAGTGAGAATCTGGCTTACCATTTGTGTGATCTTAGGCAAATCTCTAAACTCTACTTAGCCTTAGTTTCCTCACCTGTAAAAATGGGATTCTAATGCCTGCCTGTCTTGGAGAGATTTTTCTTTTGGTCAGTTGTGGGGCTAGAACTCAGAGCCTGGGTGCTGTCCTTGGCCCTTTTCACTCAAAGCTGGTGGGTTACCACTTTGAGCCACAGCACCACTTCCGGTTTTCTGGTGGCTAACTGGAGATAAGAGTCTCGTGGACTTTCCTGTCCGGGCTGGCTTTGAATTGCCATCCTCAGATCCCATCCTCCTGAGTAGCTAAGGTTATAGGCTTGAGTCACTGGCCCCCAGCCTGGAGGGATTTTTTTTAAAGGTCAAGAAAGATAATATCTGAGCTCATTCTTAGTAAGATAGAAAGCACTAAGAGCTGTGGAAGCTGGGAACTGTCAGTTCTTAGTGATCTTTTTTGGAGACTGATTTTTACCTTGTAAATACAGGCCTGGGCCATTTGTTTGGCTGAGGAATTCACGTGGGTGTCTCTGCTCTGACTGGGAAGACCTCAGTGAGCACAGGCCACTTGGGGGTAGACTCCCAGCTGCCAAATGACCCACAAGGGGCGGGGATGGGGGAGAGGGACAGGGTGGGGGGATGGCTGGTATGGGGTTTCTGAGGCTCATCCAATTTGCCAGGAAACCAATGATCTTCTGAAATGCACAGGGGTAAGGAGGAAGCATATAACTTGCCTTATATATATTTTTAATGCTAACTTCTATTTTTGATTTCTTGTATAAATACAATGCCAGATTCTCTTGAAAGCATTCTGTGAGTGACAAAGAGCAGAAGCTCACAGTATACCTGATCACAGCCCTAGGGATCTGCGAGTGAGGGGCTGGCATCAGTCACTCCACTTACTGTGTCATGAAGTAAAGAGACTTTCTTTTAAAGTGCCTAGAAGGGCATGGTGAATTATCCTCTGAAGAACTGAAAGGTTTTTGGAATGGCTCTGACTAGAACTAGCACCATTAATTTTTCTGCTGAACAAAACCCAAGCAGTGGGAGCCAAATGGAAACCCAGACTCTGAACAAATCCGACTTGCGATGCATTACTGGCCGAAGGCAGCCCCGGGACTGAATTCTGAAGTGGTGCAGAGCAAGCACTCGCTGCCCAGTGCCCAGTGGTTTCTCACTTGAGGGTTAGGCCGACAGAGACCATAGGTCACGCCAGGGGCACTCGGGTGAGGTTTCCGGCTAGCGGGCGCATGCGCGGCTCCCTTCCCTCTCCTCACACGAACTCCTTGTCCACGGCTAAAACGTACCCTGTTATTGTGGCTTCAAATGTTTTTGAGGAAAGGTTTTGGAAAAAAGCACTGCATACACAAGGAGATCTCCAAAACCAACCAACCACACTCTGGCAAAAGGCAAGTTATTTACTTATGAACATGGCGGGGTGCCTTCGACTCAGACTGGCTGTGTCCCCCACTCTCCCCCCCAACCACCCCCTTCCGTCACCTGGAGCAGGTGTGAGGTCTTGCCACTGTGGCCAAGATGGTTATTAGAATTCTGCCTGGAGTTTCTAAATCAATGCAGGTGAAATCAATGCCAGACTACTCATTGGTCCATCTCTATCTTAGAATTAAAAAGGAAATTATCCAAGTAGTTGAACATGTCAGTTTATAAATGCGATGCATCTTGTTCAATGTCACCCCTTTCTTCACCCTCCTCTGCCTTCTCTCCCAGCCCCGCCCATCCCCCTCCATTCACCTCTATCTTTTATGCCAACACCAAGAAATGGACGATGTAATTAATCTCAGACACTCCAACGTGTTTCTATGATGGAGTTTACTTGTGTTGTAAGTGTGGGTTCGTGTGCTTTTCTGTTTGGTCCTCCTGAGTCATGCATCTTCCCTGGTGCCTAACAAAGCTCCTAGCACAAGCTAAGATTCGATCACAAGCTAATGAAGGAAGGAAGGAAGGAAGGAGTGAAGCTAGCGAAGTTAATGATGCAAAATTATGTTGCAGCCCCATTCTCCTTAGCTATACAATGAAGTATCCCATAAAGAGAACTGGATTGTAAACATTTAGAATTACGCTACTGCATTAAATATCCTCTCGTTTTTTAATAGTCTTATTATTTAGACTCCTTGGTTCCCTCGACTGTCTCTGAGTGCAATTCCAAATTTTCTCTCCCATCCTTTAACTTGCCTAGACTTACTTGGCCGTACCGATCACATCTCCATGTTTCATATTTATGTCTTTTCTCCTTGTGCTGGTCTCCTTCTCTCCCTGATCCCACGTGTCTGTGAAGGCACTCGGATCTCAGGGTAAATTGCTATCAGCTGCTGTGATGCCGTGGGTGAAAATGAAACTGAAGAATTATACAGGGAGAGCCAAGGGTCAGAGGCGTTCCACTGACAGTCCATCCTGGGAGTGCAGCAAGTTGCTGATAGGCTCTTAGTTCCCAAGGGCCTGACCTGCTCTGCCCCACCCTCTCCTGACTCACTCCCACTCATTCTGTAAGTCTCTGTTTAGTGTCAGGTCTGTAGAGAAATGCTGCTAACGTTCACCTCCTCGGTCTAAGTCAGATCCCCGTTCTAAACTCTCCTCACACCTTTTCTTTTCTCAGCACCGCTCTCACCTGATCTGAAGTTTGCTTACAGACGTAATGTCACCTGCCTGATGGCTGCGTATGAATGCCACTCTGCCTGCCTCAGACCATGAGCTCTTTGGGGAAAGACCATTTCTACTTTCATTCACCATTATTCCCTCTGTGCCTAGCACAACCCTCTGTATAGTGAGAAATATTCACTAGATAATGAATGGCATGGAAAGTGAAAAGCCACACGGCCGTCTAGACTAAGTCTGAAGGGAAGGGAGAGAAGTGAAGGGAGACATGGTTTTAGGGACAGACAGAAGCTTGCTAAGGTTGTTAGAAGAAAAAAGAAAAGAGGATGTCGGGGCAGAACATTTATCTCCCGTGATTACACTTGGCGGCAATTTAGCTGATGAATGCAATTTTGTATGAAAAGATGGACAATAATGGGAATTAAAACAGTACCGCTATCTGAAACCAGTAGATACATAATTTTATCGAAATGAAGCACTTGGAATACAATTCATTATGTTTTCCTATCACTGTCCATTAAAGGGAAAAATGCTCTGTGAACTATCAGGAGTCTGAGTAGTGTGGAATAATAAAACAAGAGAGAGCTTAGGGCTGCTGACTCTTGTCAAAAGCACTGCACAGACCGGAATGCCAGGCAGGCCTAATCTCCACATGCCGCATTGCTGAGATTCATCTGGTCAGAGCCGGGCCCTGTGCTTGTGCAGACAGACACCCATGCAGACAGATGCCCGTGCAGACAGACTGCCGCAGTTTCCTCTCAACCAGCTTTGTCAGCTGACGTGACCACTGTAAAGCACTCAGCACTGAGACATCCGTCTTCAAAGCATTCGTTAGGCAGCTGAAGAAAGGAGCCTTCTTCCTCCCCTCAACTCTTGACACCAACATTTGCAAACACTCCTTCTGCCTCATCAATATTTTACCTCGTTCTCTCTAAGAGTTTGGAAATTGTTATCTTTAACATTCAACCCATAGCTCTTATACTCATGGCTCTGAAAGGCGCTCAAGAAATCATCTAATCCAATTCACTTGTTTTACAGCCAAGGGTGTGCTTTCTGGGAAGATTTATTTACCTAAATCCAAAGGCCCTTGCTCTGCCACCAGAGCCAAATTCAAACAATAAACACAGAGCCCAAGCTGGGTTGGACCGTAGTTGGCTTGGAGTGGAGGTAGGGATGGAACCAAAGGCTAAGGGAACCAATCGCAGGGCAGAACTACTGAGTAGACGAAATCCCTAGAAGCTGTGTAAGTTAGAGTCTCATTGTAAGTCTCCTCACCTGGAAAAGCAGGCGACACGGGCTGTTTATTTTACAGCGGTCACAACAATGCAAGAAGATAGTAAGTGTCATAGGCAGAGATCGGAGTCTTGGTTCAAGTCCTCCCCCTACCATTGGCAGTGAGGGGGATGGGAAGGCCTCAGATGACTTGAATTCTTACTCTGTTCGCTAGAGAACACAACGAACACCCAGAAAGCCAGGATGTTGTGAGGCTTCAGTGATGTGGTGTAGACAAGAAGCTAGGAGGCACTTGCCCCCCCCCTTTACATTGAAGTGTTATTCATTATAGCCAGAGGGTAGAAATGCATCAGAGGAGGGGCAGACTGACACAACGAGAGGCATACAATCCAATATTATCCAGTGTGAAGGAGGAATGAGAATCTGACCTGTGTCACAGTGTGGATGAACCTGGAAGACTTTATGCTACTTCAAATAAGATAGACATAAAAGGGAGTCGGTTCGTGGTTATGCTTCTGAGAAGCCCCCAGAAGAGTCAACGTTATAGAGACAGAAAAGTAGAAGTTACCTGGGGCTGAAGACATAAAGGGAGAGGGAGCTCTTGTTCCATGGGTTCAGTTCCCAGTTGGGATGGTTAAACATTCCCAGAAAGTGCTGGTGGTAATGGCTGCACAGCATTTGTGAACATATTTTATGCTACTGAACTATTCACCGACAGTGATGAAAATGATGAATTCTGTGATATATGTATGTATATAGACACACACACACACACACACACACACACACACACACACACACACACATTACATTGGAGAAGAACTCCAAGATGTCATTAGAATGCCTGATACAAAGTTGGTGCCACACTCGAGGCTGCAGTTAGGTCCCATTCCACCTCTCTTACCTGCTCTAAGTAGTGCAGTGACAAGTTGATGTACTTGGCCTCTGTGAGGAGCTGGCCCCCGACTCCCGTCTTTGCCACACGCTCTGAACCAGCCAGGTCCACCAAATGCAGCTTGGCATGCCGCACAGTCGCCGATCCTGGCTCTTTACTCGATAAGTGAACGGTGAAGATGCAGTGGGAACGGGTTGAAGCTTGGTTCATGGGAGTCTATCAAAAAGAAGTTGGGAGGCAAAAACGGATTTGAACAAAATGAAGTTCCACCACTATCTGAAGATTTAAATTCATATTTCTAATATGAATGCTCCGGAAGCTGATGCTATCACATGGAGTAAAAATACTTGCAGCCGAGAAGCTGAAAGGGCGTTCTTTCCCCTGCATTGGGTGATTGGGAGCAGATGTGGATGAGTAGATTGGAAAGTGACAAAGGAGTTTGGAGGCAGCAGGTGGAGTCTTCTCACCGAGATGATAACTTTGGTTCATTACCCAACTACAATTCATCCCTTAAGCTCAGCCATGTTAAAAATGCTTAATGTAATCCTCTGGAAAAGAGGTGAGTACGTGTGCATTAAGGAAGTGCAGTTGGCCACCAGTGACTCACCCATGTAATCCTAGCTACTCAGGCTGGAGTCTGAAGCCATGCAGTGTGAAGCTAGCCTGGCAACACAATACCAAGAGACTCTTATCTCCAAATAACCAGAAAAAAAAAATCCCAGGAGTGGAAGTATGCCTCACACATGTGGTAGAGTGCCAGCCATGAGAGAAAAAAGCCAAGCAGGAGTAATGACACACACACAAAAAGAGAATTCATTCACACAATTATAAACACAATTCACAGACATCTGACACTGAGCTGAAGGTCCTAGCCCAGTAATAAACAACAAGAAGAAATAAAAATCATACCAATTTGCTGGGCACTGGTGGCTCACGCCTGTAATCCTAGCTACTAAGGAAGCTGAGATCTAAGGATCATGGTTCAAAGCCAGCCTGGGCAGGAAAGTCTGTGAGACTCATCTTGAATAAACCATTCAGAAAACCGGAAGTGGCACTATGGCTCAAGTGGTAGAGTGCTCGCCTTGGGCTGAAGAGCTGAGGGACAGCGCCCAGGCCCAGAATTCAAGCCCCATGCCAAAAAAAAAAAAAAAAAAAATCATACCAATAGGAAGAGATTTAGAAGTATACAGGAAAATACAGAAGCACATCATAAATAACTCAAAGTGCTAGTGGATTCTTTAATACATAACACAGAAAAATTATTCAAATATTTAACCAAATAACCCAAATATAGTGGCTTATATGACAAAACCTATCACAAAGTTAAAAATGGAAAGAAAGGGACTGGGATGGTGGCTCAGTGGTAGAGCGCTTGCCTTGCATGCATGAGGCCCTGGGTTCGATTCCTCAGCACCACATAAGCAGAAAAAGCCAGAAGTGGTGTTGTGGCTCAAGTGGTAGAGCACTAGCCTTGAGCTGAAGAGCTGAGGTACAGCGCCCAGGCCCAGAGTTCAGGCCCCATGACTGACAAAAATAAATAAATAAATTGAAAGAGATATTTGCAATACATGGGGTAAAAGATTAATTCTTGAAATAAATAATTCTCACAAATCAATATAAAAAAATCTCAGGAAAATATGAGCAAAAGACACAGAATCCACAAGGAGGCAATCTGAAAATGACTAATGAATATTGGAAAAGATGCTCAAAACTATAAACAATGAGACCTATGTAGCTTGGATAAACTCTTTCAATCCCATCAGGCTCAAATTCTTTGTGGGCATGCATGCAGAAGATTGACGGTTTTGTATATTGTTGATGTGAATATAAATTAAGAACCTTGTGATAAAAGAGGCCTGTAGGCCTGGCTCCAGTGGTAGAGCACCAGCTAATCAGGCAAGCTCATCAAGCTCATCAGGGCCAATGCCCTGAGTTCAACCCTTGACACCATCAAAAAATAGAAAAAAAAGAAGGCTTTCTTTGAGAGCAACCTGGCCATATGCGATAATACTGCAAATGCCTATAACCTACAACCAAGGAAGGAAACTACTGGATACACTTCCAAAAAAGAAATTTTGGAGGCTAGAGATCTGGCTGAAGTGGTAGAGTGCTTGCCTAGCATGTGTGAAGCCTTGAGTTCAGAGAACCACATCCTGACAACAAAATTAGGAGCTGGCACACACACCAATTCGGACATTCATTGCTGCATTACGTGGGACAGTAAGATGCTGTAGAGTTTCCCTGACTATAAAAGTGATATTACCTCCTGCTCGTGGACTTGTGAGTGAGGGCACTGCAAGAATAAGAAACATGGACGCGAAGGATATCACAAACTCATGATGTCCGGGCCTTCTTTGAAGGCTGGAAGGAAAAGGCCAACCAAGAAATATGAGCTTTTTTTTCCTGAAAGGTACTATTTCTTTTAATTTAAAAATTGTAAGAAGCATGCTGGGTGCTGGTAGCTCATACCTGTAATCCTAGTTGCTCAGGAGGCTGAGATTTGAGGATCATGGTCCAAAGTCAGCCTGAGCAGGAAAGTCTGTGAGATTCTTATCACCAATAAACTACCAAAAAGGCTGAAAGTGGAGCTGTGGCTCAAGAGGTAGGGCAAAAGAAGCTCAGGGACAGCACTTAGGCCCTGAGTTCAAGTCTCAGGACTGGTGTGCGCATGTGCGCACACACACACACACACACACACACACACACACACACACACACAAATGTAAGAAGCAAATTCTAAGTTGTAAACACACTGGATGCTGGTTACATGGTCACAGTATTAAATATTATTGTACTTTTTATTTTAAAGTTTTTAATTCTCCAGAGGAAAGAAATTAATCTAAGGTAGAAGTGAGAAGTTAGCAGTACCATCCCCTCAAACAACAAAGAACAAGGAATATTCCAAATGAATATTCATAACTCTAACTTTGCAAAGAAAAAAGAATTTCATTATGGATACATATGTATGCAAATAGAGTAATGCATTTGGATGCTATTTCAACCAGACATTTTTTTGGTAAATATAAATTCTTTGTATCTACTGTGGTTGATGTACACCCGCTAGTAAAATACACAGATGTCCAAATGCTGTCATAGTTTTGGTGATGATGATGTAGCTAGTGAGTGAAATGGGCTGAAAATCTGGCCCATTACTCATTGCCATAATAATTGTATCCAAACTGAGCCAGTGTGTGATTTCGTTTGCTAAAGAGGGTCAGCAAATAACTGTGCCTGTAAAACCGCAAACTCAAATTTAGCATCTAAGTTGAGGTGTTTTGGAAGTGAGTGTAAGTTATTTGCAGAACTTAAACACAGGTTCCATTTCCCTGTATACTCACACAGCAATAAATGGCACTGGATAATGATGAAAACCAAATTAACAATCAAATAATACAGAGAATAGTTTTGGCACTGTCTTTGCCTTCAAAGTGGTTAGGCTGATTTTACAAGCACACAGAGACCCCTTATGATTGTTGGAATCATCTGGGTGTAACTATTTTAAAGGAATATGAGAGTTACAAAAGATAACAACGAGTTCACACTCGTAATCCCAGCTACTCAGGAGGCTGAGATCTGAGGATGGTGGTTCAAAGCCAGCCTGGGCAAGATAATCTGTGAGACTTTTACGTCTGATTAATCACCCCAAAAAGCTGGAATTGGAGCTGTGACTTAAGCCTTGAGCTTAAAAACAGTGCCCAGGCCCTGAGTTCAAGCCCCAGTTCTGACTAAACAAATCAATACATACATACGTAAATAAATAAACAAAACTGCCTTTCTGGATTCTGTAATTAAAGTGCAGAATTGTATACCGAAGGAGATCATGAGTACAGTTTTGTAATGTCTCAGAAATATTTTCTGCATGAAATAGTGGTTGGTGTCGTCTTAGACAGAAGTTTCTTAAACCTCAAGTGTCACTCTCGGTGCGTAGCTGTTTGAGTGTGATTGGCTATGCGGGCCGGTGTCTGTTCTGTGTTCTCTTAGGGATGTCATTATGTCTCGTGGGCATGTCTGTTTGCTTGTCCTTTTAAAGGTAAAACTGTATTAAAGCATTTTTGAAAGTGCCTGCAAACAGATGGCACCATTTAGGAAGATTCATTCAAATCTGAGCACATATTTTAAACAAATGTGCTTCTGGCACTGGGTTGTGCTTTTGGGAGAATTCTCGGGATGATTAATTGTCTGCATGCAGAGAGCAATCACGTTTTTCTCTCTGTCTATGTAGCTAGCTGTGCTGGGCAGGGCAGAGAAAGGAAGAAAAGTAAGAGCCAGGCCTTACCCTCAAGGAACTTGTAATCTAGTCAGGGATGTGAGCCAGCTCCCATGAAAGAGACAGGCAGGAGGAGGGAAAGGGAGTAAGATGAGGAAAAGGCAAAATGTGAGAGGAAGAAAGTGACCTGTTATGTTTTGTTTTTTTCATGGAGCCTCTTGAGCCTTTAGCTTTCTAGACATCTGAGGACATGCCTGGTCCCTCATCCTGTAGCTCACACCTTCATCCCCTAGACACACCTGAGGGCCGGCCTGGTCCCTCACCTGCCCTCTACTCTTGTCTAGTCTCCTGAGCCAAATGCTCTCCAGGTATTTCTCCTCTCCAAAACTGCTGTACTGTATGGCTCCTGCCCCTCAGTGGGTGTGTCCGAAGATATGGCTGGCATATTCTTTCCCCTGGGGAGCCCCAGTCCTCATTGGACAGACCCTGCGGCATAGCGAAAACGACACATGGAAAACCTGAAGAATTTGGTGTAGGTGGCCTGCTTTCAAGTCTAGCTTCTGTCCATGGCTTGAAAACAGAAAAGCTTAAGCAATTTTTCTGTTTGTTGTTGAAAGCATAAGTAAATTGACATGGAATAAGTTTGGTTTTCATTCCTCTAAGATGCCAGAAGGGATCCACTTTGCTACAAGGAAATACACTGATCACAAGTGTGTTACTGAGTTGTGAAGCGGTGTGAACCGTTCATGGTCATATTAAAGCCCACCATGGTTCAGATGTCTCTTACGTTCTGATTTCCCACCTTGGTCTCTGGACACTAGGCCGTGTGTGCAACAGCTTCCCGAGGATTGTCAAGGAAATGCCTTGTCAGTTTCTCCAACATGCTCCTCCAGTTAATCACAGGGCTTTCCCTCCCTTGAATTCAACGAATATGCTTCCTAAAACCAAATATCCCTGTTTCCTACAAAGGTGTCTTCGGCAACTGGTAATCAAAATCCTTTCAAGAATA